TATTTCATTTTTCTGGGAGAGGGCTGGATGATAACTTCCCACATTTATTTATTTATTTATTTATTTGTTTATTTATTTTTTATTTATTTATTTATTTATTTAGGCATGAATTAGATAACAGACATGGTATAAACATGGTTATGAACACATGAAATGGATACAAATACAAGGGAATATTAGGACAGGCACTTTGGTGCGCTTAGGCGCCCCCCTCCCCCTCATGCGGTCCAGAAGGGCTGAAAGCAGCTGAGAGATGAAGGAAGACAAGGATGGGGCATCACCCAGTCCTGGCTCTGCCGGAGGTCATCAGCAAGGGTGGTGAACGCTGTCTCTTCCCTGGTTTAAAGCCAGACTGAAACTGGTCCACGTAACCCACTGGATCTGATGTGGAGCTGCTACGGGGCAGTGGTGGGATTGAACATTTTTTACTACGGGTTCTGTGGGCGTGGCGTGGCGGGCGTGGCAGGGGAAGGATACTGCAAAATCCCCATTCCCCCCCCCCACTCGGGGGCCAGCTGGAGGTGGCATTTCCTGGTTCTCCGAACTACCCAAAATTTCCGCTACGGGTTCTCCAGAACCTGCCAGAGCCTGCTGAATTTCTCCTCCGTACGGGGCCTACGGCTGCCTGGGGCCCTATGGATGACCCGCGTCTGCCACCAGGTGCTGGCTACCAATCCGCCTTTCTTCCCGGGTGGAAAAGGCCGAGCACCCGCTGGCGGATCTGCTGCGTCTTCATCCCGTACACCAGCGGGTTCAGCATGGGGGGAAGCAGGACGTACAGGCTGGCCAGGATGATGTGGATGTAAGCAGGGACGTGTTTGCCGATCCGGTGGGTGAGGAAGGTGAAGAGGCTGGGCACATAAAATACCAAGATGATGCAGGTGTGAGCAGCACAGGTGCCCAGGGCTTTGGCCCGGGCATCTCGCGATGACAGCTGGAAGACGGCCCACAGGATCAAGGCGTAGGACGTGGCGATGAGCCCCAAGTCCAGCCCCACCACCAAGAGTGCCACGGAGAGGCCGTAGGTCCGGTTGATGAATGTATTGGCACACGTGACCAGCTTGACCACGGCCATGTGTTCGCAGTAGGCATGTGGGATGACCTTGAGGAAACAGGAGGGCGATCTGTTGAGAAGTATAGGGCCGGGGATGACCAATATCACTCCCCGGGCAGCAGCTGCCAGTCCCATCTTGACAACCGCCGTGGTGCTGAGGATGGTCGCATAGTGCAGCGGGCGGCAGATGGCCACGTAGCGATCGAAGGCCATGGCCAGCAAGAGGGCAGAGTCCACCATGGAGAAAGTGTGGACCAAGTACATCTGGAGCAGGCAGGAACCGAAGCCGATCTCCCTGGAGCCCATCCACATGATGCCCAGCATCTTGGGCAGAATGGTGCTGCTGAGGAGAACGTCGTTCACGGCCAGCATGCAGAGGAAGAGGAACATGGGCTTGTGGAGGTCAGGCTCCACCTTGATGATCATGACCACGATGATGTTCCCCACCAAAGTCACCACGTAGACAAGGCAGAGCGGGATGCCGATCCAGAAGTGAAAAGCTTCCAGGCCAGGAATGCCCACCATTATGAAGGAGAACTGGCCCAGGTCTCCTGTTCTGTTAACCAGGTTTATCATGGCAGACATCCCACCCGCGTGCGCCAGGACGACTCTGGGCTGAAGACATGGAAATGGCAATAGCAATAGCAGTTAGACTTATATACCGCTTCATAGGGCTTTCAGCCCTCTCTAAGAGTCAGCATATCGCCCCCAACAACAATCTGGGTCCTCATTTCACCCACCTCGGAAGGATGGAAGGCTGAGTCAACCCTGAGCCGGTGAGATTT